GTACCGGTGAAGTATGAGTGAAGTACCGATGAAGTACCGGTGAAGTACTAGTGAAGTATGCACTCCTGAAGTCTCGCTTTTTCCCCCTTGGTTTTTTCACTACTCATTTAAAAATTGGTCACACAAAAATCTGAAATTGACTTTATAGACTTTATTGTCACATGGGTGCCTTCTACTTCTATATATTTTTTTAATGTTTCATTTGCTTACTTTTCTTTTAACTGAAAGAGACGCACGTTTCTCACTTCTGTTTGTTTTAACAAGATGTAGAAGTGTGCGTGACACGTCAGTTACGCGCACAACGCTTGCGCGCAAAAAAATTCTTTTCTTTCTATTCTCGTCTGATCAAATTACTCATATGTATTAACAGAAATAAAAATGTTCTGTTATTGGGATTGGTTTATTAAGGAAATACATATAAGATATTAATGAGAATCAAAAGATTATCTAATTTTAATATCAAACTTGCTTTTTGCATCAGAATGAGATTAAAACTAAACAAAATAAGTCAGATAAAAATATAAATGTCTCTTATAAAATCAGTCAAAGACAAAGACCAACGCATAAAATATGAAAAAATTGATCATCGAATACGAAACATAGTCGAAGAATTTCATGCTGTTTCTAGGAACGACTATTTTAAAATAGCCAGAATAGTGTTTAAATTTTGAACGAGTACGTTCTGTATTCTCAATTATTGTTCACTTAGCGTATTTGTTTGTTTATTGTAAATAACTACTATTTATCTCTGTTAATAATTTATATTAATATATTTTTTAAAATTAAGAACAATTTTCTTATCAGCAGCTAAGCATAAATTTCCGCCCGTTCATAAATCAAATAAAATTTAAGAAAAATAGTTTATCATCTTTTCCTCAATTCGCGCGCATATGTCCGCGCGTAACTGACGGTCAGTCAGAAGTTTGCTTTGGAATAATGTTGTCCGATTTTACGAATAGAGTGAAAAGACAAAACAAAACTGCTGCTTTTCATTTTATACTCTAAAATGAATATTTTGAATTCGTTCTTTAAATAAAAGAAAACGAGAAATACAGTTAATATCATAATTTATGATATGTTTTCACAATAGTCCTTTTAAACAAGAGTATATGCTCACTTCATCATCGTTCACATCCACACCCGCACACACCCGAAAACAAAAATATGAAATAATAACATTTTTATTAAACGAATTCAATATATTATTTCGACAATAAAGAGATTTCATCAGTTGCTTGAATTTCTCTATAGAGATGATGTTTTACAATGAATATGAAGTTCAATCGTTCGTTTTTCTAATATTATATTATTCTATATTAACAGAGGTCAATTGTCGTTTACGGACGATGACAATATTCTCTAACTATCAAACAAATTCTTATGGAAATACCGATGTTACATTTTCTGATCTGCTTTCGATTCTTTATATAAATTCAGGAAATTTATTATTGTTGTTCACATATAGAAGATTCTAATAAGTCTTAGAAAAAAATGAATCATTCCCTAACAAGATCCTTGTGAAATTTGAAGGAAATAACAAGTTATATTCGATAAACTAAAAATTTACAAAGAAGTTTTTATTTTGTATTTTGTATTTTGTATTTTGTATTTTGTATTAGATCTTAACTTGAATCTTTGGTTGAAAGAGACCGTCATATTCTTATGTCATATATATTTTCACATTTCGAATCAATAATATAAGAAATGAATATGAATTTGATGAAATTAAAACAAATATTCAATAATATTAAAGATGTCGAAGATTTTATTGTGAAACATACGAATAATAAAAAAGTTGTAATAGTCTTTTTTGGCAATTTATCATTGGATGAAATCAATCATCTCAAACAGATTGTATTTATACAAAACCAACAAATAAATATTGTTTAAATACATTAATTAAATTGTTTAAAAAATTTGATTTATTTTTGTTTTCGAAGTTGCGATAATCTTTGCTGCTTTTTTCCTTTAATTGTGTGCATTTGGTGGAGTTATTCACTCCAAATATAAACTTAAATGGTCGAGAAAGAACTATCTGACAAAATCCTTTTAGACTTTTTTCGATCTCGCTGTCTTATATCCAAGGATAGACGAATGAAAATAATCGAAGCTGAACACATCTGACGGTTCTTTTGTGAGCTAACTTGTGCAGAAAGGGAATAACTCAACAGACGATATATTGTGAAAAAATGAATCTATTAATATTCAACAAGAAGCAGCTCGCTGGGATTTTTCCAACTAAATAATTCATTAAAAAAGAGAGAAAATAAAACCTAGAGCGCGGGCTGACAAAAAATAACAAGAAAAGAACAGAAAAACGTCTGTGATTCTCATCGTTTCTATGGAGATTTGTTAAGATGAGCGGCATAGATTAAAGATACAAGATAATAAAAGATACTTTTCTCTGTTTTCTATAGGCTCAGAAACACTCAACGTTTTTCTTTCCATTACTTCATTAGGAAAAAAAAGTGACGACATATTCAGAAAAAACCGAGAAATATTAAATGCAGCCATTTTTGTGCTGATTTTTTATGGTAAAGAATTTTTTTAATAATTTTTTCCTTTAATTCCAGTCGACTAGAATGTTTCTTTTCTTTTACACGTAATACAGCTAACCTTTTTATTATTAGCGTTCGTGTTGATTCATTCGAACTGTAAATGAAGACTAGCATGTCCATTCTAGTCTAACTGGTCTAGGATAGCAGAAAGTATGTGATTTGAGTTATTTGAGGGGCAACTTTTTTCTTTTATTCTATTATATTCAATCAGTGACAACTCTTAGTCAACGGCTCTATACCTACGGAAGCTAATATTTATCTTTTTGCAAAATTCAATCAAGCACATATATTTTTTTAACTTCTGATGTATGTAGATAGAATTAGTTTTTCTTTATTATTCCATTAAATGTGGTCATTTATTATTATCTCTTATTTTTTATTGATATTAATAATTAATTAAAATTCGTGACGTTTCGTATCCCGATGAGATACTTCTTCAGACATTAAATTCATGACAAACGCATTAACATATACAACTAAAATAGCTTTTTTTCTTTTCTCTTTCCTTTCATTATTAGTTATTGATAATGATACGGAGAAGGATTATATCTCTATCTAGCTATTACTATTGCCGTCTTGTTTTCCGCATCACTATCAATGACTAATAAGGAAAGGAAATAGAGAAAATAAAAGCTATTTTACTTGTATATGTTAAAGAGTTTGTCATAAATTTAATGTCTGAAGCATCTCATCGAGATACGAAACGTCACGAATTTTTAATTAATTATTAATATCGAATAAAATAAAAGAAGAGAATTTAAATATGTCAAATATCAATTTAATCTTCTTATTAAGATAATAGTAGTTCTTTGTTTTAATACCAGTACACTAATTCGTGTTACACATGAGACACTATGACTGCGATCTAGAACGCTTTGGTAGGAAAGTTTTTTTTTCGCCTTTATCTCCCATAAAGTTAGCCGTTTTGTCCTACATAAGTAATAAGTTAATAGTAACTGTCAAATTTTCGTGTACCATTATATAGATAATTGTCGATTATTTTATTTCTCAATCAGAGTAATAGTTCTATCTTTTTTTCCATTTTAATATAACAAAATCACTATTTTCCTGCTAACAACTCAAAATAAGCGTAGCCTTTATCAATTTTATGAAACGAAATACATATTTATGAGAGTAACTTTGATATAGCAACTGTATATTTTGTACTCTTCTTTTCAGAAATAATATTTCATTCTGCACTGTACAACTAGTCAGTCTGCTTATATAAATTGCTGTTTGTCGGTAGAGAATATTCTTGTTTTTTCGTTTAGTGGCGAGGGTGTGGGTGTGAGTTTACGTGTGGGTACGGGTACGAGTGTAGATATTGTATTAATCATAAATCTATACCCACGCTCTTAAGAGAGCTGCTCTTCTATCATACCTACACCGACACCCTCAAGAATTGTCAACACATTACATTGAATCAGTATTTATGTT